TTAATAATAATTTCAGACTATGGTTAATTTATTATTAGACGAAGTTTGTATGAACTATATAAGCTAAAGCAAGCAAAGTTTTGGATCACTTTTTTAGCTAGAAGAAGCTACTAGTATGAAGAAAATATTACTTTCTCTAATAAATCTTTTTTTCCTTATTACTCATGGTAAGCAGTTTTAAATTTACTCTTTTACACTGTTTATAGTTTCAGGCAGTATCTCCTTCAATATTGTACCAGAGACACAATATGTGTATGTCAATGATAATGTGACATTTGAATGTGCTCTTAATGTGACTCAATATTATCCCTCTTTTGTGACTAATCCATCAGTTGATGGTTTAGAATTATTCTCTGGTGGAACGGCATCACTCACCTTAACAGCAACAAGTGAAGTAAATGGTACAGAAGTTACCTGCCAAACACCCAATGGAGCCTCTACCACTGAACCAGCATATCTATATGTACAAGGTCAGTGTAATGTTGATTAATAAAGTGACCGTACTCAAGCATTCATTTAGTTTGTATTGTTGTTACACTTTTACTTGTACATCATTTGCATCAGCTAGTCAATTGAACAATTTTTGTTATCATTCCCAGGTCCACCTGATAGTGTCAGTAGTTTAACAGGATATCAGTTAGATTCTTGTTGTATGTTTATCAGTTGGTATCCTCCATTCACACTACCAGGACTAACAGTACAGTATATAATCAGTGTAGGAACTGATCAAAAGTACCTTAATGACTCTATCACTAACTACACTTACTGTCCAATGAACCCAACCAATAAACAATATCTGTTTAACATTACAACTACTAATAAAGCTGGGAATGGATCTACTAGTAACATAACTGTTGGATTTCAATCAACAAGTAAGTAATTATACTTATTGAGAGCCTGAAGTGATTATTCTATACAGTAGATGTAGAGTTATATGTAACTGATAAGGAAAGAGGGAATGTAAATTGGACTTTTCATTTCATTGTATCTGTAAGTTCCCTAATAGGATTAATCATAGCCAGCTATGATAACTTTATAGTAATAGTGAATAGTAGTGTTAAATGATGATAGACAGACTATAGTATTATAATGTATTATAGGATAAATGTACCATGTATTATAATGTATAGTCTATATTGTACTTAATAATGATATCCCATGGTGTGTTTACTGTGTTGTGATTACCTGCTTAAGACAACATGGCTATGTATTCTTTTTAGGTTTATCAGTCTTGTACTAATGTACCAATAATGAAAATTACATTGAAAGGGTGTACTAAGGATAACTGTTATTCAACAACAAATGTATCCATAAGCAATAGTTCTTATAATAACATTTCACTTGTTGTTCAATTTCCATCAAATAAGACACTGAATACTAATGCTACCTTGTACTATCAAAATGGA